GAAAACAATTTCGCATAAACGAATAGTCTCACTACTCCTCCCCATTAGTCTCTCCTTTCTTTTGAATTATTTGACCATATTTCATATCAAATATCATTGAGTGATGGAGATCGAATTTTATTTATATAAACAATGGGCGTGCAAAGGGACAGGGAACATTTTTCAAATCTAAAATATTTTCTTCCACTTGGATGAAGATATGATTATCCGAGTCTATTGCGAAGCTTTATAATTCGTCAAATACCAATAATTGCAATCGTTCTGACCTTTGATAAATCGAAAATACAGGTATCTCAAAAGCAATAATCTTGGGGGAAAAGAAAATATCAACACGACAACACGGTCATAATCAAATATCAAATTCAATAAAACTAGGGCAAACCATGGACAAAAGAATCATTGCAGGGAAACTCTTGAAAATGTATGAAGAGAATAAGGTCATTTGTTCCGGAAAAAGTTAACGTCTTCTGTTTCATCGACAACCTCCCACTATGTTAATCTTGATAAATTGAAACAAGTAATGACACATAAATAGTGATATGAAAACAGGCCTTCGAATGAAATGCGATAGGTAAACACTATAGGTTGGAGATGTAGGAATGTTGCTCTCGAGAAATGGAAATCCACAATAGGGAAATTGGCATATCACGCTTACATACAGCTTGGTGGAAAGCTGTCCGTGTTATGTTCGTTGTTGGACAATACCGAAATAAGCGGCTGATGAAAAAAGTGGCGTGATCAATACATTTCTTGCTATTTCAAGACAAGACGAACTCAATATACAATTGTATATGAAAGTGAAATTAACGACTTTTCGAGGTCTTTGTGACCTGTTTTGATAGGCTCGTTGATACTTTAGCTTGGTATCAAAACCAAAAACAAGTCAGCTAACAAAAGGGTACAGAAAGTTCCCATAAGTATATCAATAGTCTGTTGGAAGAAACTCATTACTCATTATTTGAAAGAATTAGACGCTGACATTTATTTTCAGAATTCGTATTTCTCTTACGAAAGATTTCCAGACCTAAAGAAAATTTGATACCATACCGTCTGAACGAATAATTCCCCATCCTTGTTTGAATTACTGGAAATTAGGAGAAATTGATTAAGGCTGCTCAGTCGATGTTTGACCTACAACGAAACGATATTAGATTGCTTTCGTTTGTTTATATTCTTTTTTAACGCACTTTATCCAGTCATCAAAGTTTGTCCGTTCGCATTTGACCATATTTCTATAATATCGGATGATGTTTTACGGAGTGAAAAGCTATTGTACATGTTATCAACATGTTACCGCCCAATGTATGATTATTGAATAATCTTACATGAAACAGATCCGTGAACTTAACCACTTGATTTCTATGAAATGATATGATATTCGATTATTGATGTGCTATAGATCTACATCATTATGTTTGTTGTCAATTGAGTTATAAAGGTTTAGTTTGATATTGGTGTTAAATTTGATTTAATTTCGGACCCTAAGTTATTGTCCATTATTTATGTGGCCATTAGGACCTCTTGTATTGGCGTGCCGTTAAGAATTCAATCAATCATGATTTTACATCGATTTCACATCGATTTCATAATCAGCCAGTATTTGGACCTATTCTAAAACAATTGCAACAGATATTGACAAAAGTCTCATTTACATCAAATTAATAATATTATCTTTTCAACAGAAAAAAAGCAAAAACAAGAAACAAAATAAACAAAAAGTAGCAAATAAATAAAGTTTTTAAAAAATCCAAAACAGAATTGAGTATCTTATTCTATTAAATTTTCTACATAATTTTTGTTTCGTGTATCAGAAAATGTCTGTTTTGTTCTGTTTTGCTCGAAAAATATTAAATATTGTCATGGATTTTTTTTTCATACAAATATTGAAAAAGTCTATCTGGAGACTGTTGCTTTCCGCATGATATCTTTTGAAGGACTAGTCGGTTTAGTTGAAACTTAGTTGGTACACATGTTAGTTTAATTCCATACGCAAGTTCGATTAACTTGCAATTTCATTAATGAAGCTGCTGTGACCTTATTGGCTGATTTCTTTAATCACTGTATAGGAAATCTTATTGCACTTGTAAACTTATTACCTTAATTCCTTGTTCTGGTTTGATAATCAGCTAACTCTATGTTTATGTAATGCGACAGCTGTTACCTGATTGGCTGATATCTTTTGGTACTCTAAATGAAGGATTTCCGCATGCTATTATTTGAAGGATCAGCTTAATGGTGATGAGAAATGCTTGGTATACTTGTTACCTTGGCTAGTGCACGTTTGATTAGACTTCTGTGACCTAATTGGTTTATATCTTTTGGTACTCTAACTGAATGATTTCCGCATGCTATTATTTGAAGGATCAGCTAAATTGTGATGAGAAATGCTTGGTATACTTGTAACCTTGGCCTAGTGAACGTTTGATAGACTGCTGTGACCTAATTGATTGATATCTTGTCCGGTTTTGCATATTATTCACTTTAATTGCATGTATTTTACAAATGAACCTGGGCGGGGGCTTTTGATGACTATGTCCTAGTTTTACTTCACTCTGATTCTGTTTGTACTTTAACAGATAAAAAAATAAGAACGAAAACAAAAAATCCAGCTTTTAACATTGTGATTATCAAATTAAGTGAATAAATTAACTAGGAGAGAGCAATCCGTTCTCAGATTATGCAGCACAAACGATGCCAATCCCTTTCTGTCCCACATTGACTTAAGAGCAATTAAGAAGATGACCAAGTGTATGGTCGAACTTCCTCAAGGAATAAAACCCCTATTGTGCGAACAATGTTTTTTTAAAGTAGTTAAAGTGACCTTGATCATAAATGCAACTTAACTGTTCCTGATATAAATGTGAGGTTTGACTGGAATATATCAGTTATGAAGCCAACATAGTGCTGTAAAAAGGTTTTCTAAAACCAATAGGAACGTTGCATTGACATGTACAGCTCTGAACATCACTTGTCGCTGGTTTTTCATAAGTTTGTGAGGTTTGATCAACATTCCTTGAAATGAACCCGCCAGACAAATGTGTGTTCCAAACGTAGTTATGTTGAAATTGTAGCTAAATCCACTAGATGTTTGAATATCAGAGACCGGAAAGGACTGGAGGTTTCTTATCAGTGTTAGAAATAAAGAAGTATTCATTTAGAAACACCTTCAAATCAATACCATAATTCATTTGATATTTCGCTTAGTAAAGGCTCTATCAGTATACACAAAATCCTGAACCTCTTGTAGATATTCTTATTTTCATGCATATCACTACAAGAGATTTTGATATTCATGAGTGTGTTAATCACAACACATCACTACCGCTTGAATCTTCAATTATGACGCACTATTATGATATTTTTTTTCATTTTTAGAGATTATGGATTGGCTTTTCTTTTGAAATTTCTCATACTTCTTTCACGAGAATACATATTTACATTTCTAACTAAACTGGTCACGTTTAAAAATGACGTAATTCCTGTGAAGGAAGTATAACTTTTCTACCGAAAACCCTTCAATATTCAGCACAAAGATATCTGGTAAACCCCATTGTGTATTTGGTGAAAATAAATGATAAATGTGTTTGGGTAAACACTGTATACAGATAATGAAACGCAACATAAATATTAGCATTAAATACACCAAGCAGTATCAAAAATTAGGAGTATCAGGTCACCTCACCTAATCCCCAAATATATATTACAAGTCCGTCACCTGCAACACAAAAACATTATACCGTGACTGTACAAACGCATGCGGCACTTTTCATTAAATTAAATGTCATTTTCTGACTATCACCAAGACGCGTGAGTGCCAACACATCTGCAATCAAGAACAATACATTTGCAAACAGCAATTGCTTATACAAATACAGCTACGTACGGCTATCCCAACTTGAAAGAGGACGGACTCTTGTAATACTCATGGGAGGTATCTCTCAACAGCAAGTCGTTACTCACTTCGGAGTTCACTAATCGGCTATAATAGGTCGGTTAATTGTCAACGCCACAGGTAGAGATCCGTCAAGATCGGTTCACGAGCGGGACTGGAGATCAACGGCAGTCCCGGCACAGAATATCATTGGCAATTGAAACCGTCGAATCCACTTAAAAACTGTGAGAAATGCATTGTAGACTTAGAGAGTCAGTTTGTCGGTTTACCACTGACATCTCAAAGCCGGGCACGTCGTATGCAATGGTTGATGGCACATGTATCCTTAAGATTCCGTAAAAGACTTCGGTGGTCCATACTTTTCACGGATTAATTTCTATTATCTTATTTTATTAAATTGTAAATTTGACGTTCGTTTTTCCTCTAAATATATATGTGTGTCGATGTTCACGGTTGTTCATCTGAATACTTTAACTCTATCAGCTTAAGATAACATTATCCCATTAGTGTTGTGACGTTTCGATTTCCATAATGATTTGTAAGTTGTTACATCTTTGAGTTCTCTGTACAAAATTTAAGTGTCATACGGTTGTAATACAAAATTAAGCAATTTAATAATTGGATAATGGATGATATTTACAACGAAGTTAAATGAACAAATATATCATACTCGCACCACTTTATACACACAAAAGACTGCGAAGTGCCCAGATAGTCTAAAATTACTCTTTCTGAACCAGAGAACTAAAAGCATATACCACTATGACTTACCATCTCTGACTCTATAGCTAGATGCCCGAGATTTTGGTTCTGAGATTGGATGTATATAGTGTTATCCTCAACTTGCTGGTCGACTATACGGCTCAATAAATTGTGGCCACGAGCGACAAAGGCTCGCCCCTTTTATATTCTATACTAGTGTGGAATATTAACATTTAATATTCTTCCCGCTGTCGCAACGTCTGTATTATTTTAACTCTTTGACAGAAAATAACATTAAAGATGTGCGCGTTGGTGTATGCATATATAACAAAAATTTACTGGAAATTTGATTTTTAATGCGCCATCAAAATATTGGATAAATAAAACCTTTGTTTGTATGTTGTAGATAGCAGAAGGTATTCGACAGCTTCAGCTGTGGATAACAGTATCTATGCTGGTCCATATAGGAAACGGAGGTAATATGTCAATTTGTTGTTATTCTTTAGCATTCGCCCTCTAGCGTTTGGAAGGCTATCTCTTTCCAGCTCCTGCATATATTCTCAAGGAGGCTGACTAATATGCCACGGTCTCTAACAAACACGTGCACTTAACCCGTGACTCTGTTTTATGTACATAGGAATTACCATAGCTTCTGCATCAATACAGGATTGAGGGTAATAACGCCAAATCTCCGTTTTCCCCCATTTATTTATATTTTTCCTATTTTCTTAAACATTTTATTTCAATGTTTGTAGCTTGTTACTTGCATAGTCGTGTAATTAGGAACGGTGTTATTGTGCTGATGTTATAAATTCCTTGTAACTCGAAAAAATACAGTAACTTATATCCAAACAATTATTATTCAAATATTTGAAAAAAAATCGTTCGAGAATACGTTTGAAAATATGAACATACTTATACTCCCTTAACAGGTGACATCTGGATAGTACATAAATATTGCAGACAAACGGTGATAAGTGCATTTCATCTACTAAATATGATTTTATTTCGAAGTGACTGAACAGGGCATCCGATTGCTTCGTTCTGCACTTTTAATGCACATGAATGGGTTGTTAATTCGACTGTCGTACTAAAATCCCGTTATATTCTACAAATTGGCACAGGTGTGAAGGCAGGGGGTATAATGGAGGACTATATGTAAGATTAAAAGTGGCGTCAAAGTTCTAGGACAAAAATTGAAAATTTTAAACATCTTATCAAATTCCATTCAGATGATGTAATCCATGACAAAGTGAGTTATACATTGTTCCTTTCGTCGGGGATCGTGTTAAGGTTAAAAATACGTGGCGTAGACTTTGTTTGACGATAGTCAAAAACTGAAGAATGAAAATAGAAAAAGTGAAAAAATGCCATAAATAGCGAACAAGTAAATATGTATGCACTTTTGAAAATAGAAAGTTATAGTCTTCAATAATGTACAACATAAATTCATCCCTCTAATTGTACTAATATTGAGAAAGTATTTAGGTTAAGGCGTAAAGGAGCAATAGTTTATTTCTTTCAGATTCTTACTGTGCCGACAATCTGATAACCGGACCCTTGGGGGTCAATGACTCCTCTCTGACAGCCTCCTCTTATTATGACGACGGATTTTGTTATCCTAGACTTGTGAGGATTAGCCAGAACATTATACCTTGCTGGTGCCCAGGCGTACCTGATAATTCAGAATATCTGCAGGTAAAATCAAAGCGGTTGATTATCTTGTCTATATTATCATGTATCAGTAGTAGTCAGTTTTGAAATAAATTTTGACTTTATGGTTGCACTTGAATGTAGTGGCAAAGTATATCATGTCTACTTATATTTTCAAAATTAGTCTACACAAACATATAACGCCAATTTTATACTAATCTGCAGGTTGTTAATACGGAATGTATCTTCACATACGTTTGAATTATAAGTAGTTGCATTGATGTGCTGGTGTTTGGAACAGTATATATAATTGTATGTGTGTGTGGGGGGGGGGGGGATGGATGTGTGTACGTGATGAGTGTGAAAAAATGTAAAAGTTGTTACTATTTCAGAATACCCATTGTATCTACCACCAGCTCCCAAATGTATTGCTAAGCTTGTTGTCGATCTATTACATTGTTGAACTGAAGACAAATATGTTATAATCTAATCTTCCATGTAGTAACAATATTCCATCCTTCACTATGAGAAATTACCACGTGGCATTTCAAGATTAATTAGTGCGTTTCTCTTGCAAAATGTACCTGTGCCGCTCGTCCTGATAACTACGTTTCAGTTGACATATATTTACTAACTTGGTAAGTCTTTGTAAGTGTAACGATATTATGATTGTCCTCCTTATTTATTATGTGTTATTGATTTTATGGCACAGGTCGAATTCCAGCATATCTCTGCTGTGACAGCTCTCATCATTCAAGGAAGGGGTGAAGAGTCTCAATTCATGAAGTCCCTAACAATGAAAACAAGTCTTGACGGATCAAACTGGGAAACTGTCACTGATGATACAGGGAACATAAAGGTGCATGTTGTACTTAACTGACTAGAGGTCATAAGTATAATGCAAATAACTTTGTTATATTTGGTAGGCACACTAGACTTTCCTGAAAGGCTGTTTATTGTCCGATAAAATTCGTTCCTTTACTTCAACGTAATTCCAAACAATGAATACTTAAATAACCAACGAAAGTAATACTTATCTGATCGATGATTTCAGAATGACTGGGTTATGTGTTAATTAGGAAGCACCTTCGAATGTCTTAATGCATAAAAAAAAATATTAATTATAAGTACAAAGCCAACAGAAGACGAGTACGGGTGAAAACTGCAAAGGATTTTGCCACAACGAAGAGAAATTAGGTTAAAAAGGCAATATGGACCAATTTTGCACAATATGATAAGACCTTATATTTACATGTACTCCGCAAAACATCAAGTAGATGGCACCATAGTCATAAATCAAATTCAAATACAAACCAAAATATAAACAGAAGAAAGTAGGACACCTGGGGTAGCCCAAAGAGCATGCCTATTTCGTCTCATCGTTCTTAGGATATGTTGGGTTAGTGTTGTTGAACGCAAACATTATTATTTGGTTTTACCATATGTAGAGTCCAATCGATTTGATTGGTCTCGGCGACACTAACGATTGCTATAACGGCGGTGTTCACTGTTAAGTCGGGATTTAGTTTGATGTACAATAATGGGAGGTAGCAAGTGTTGCAACGTCAGAAAGAACGCTTCATATGCTCCAGCGTGGCAGATTTAGTGAGGATAATATGATCACCCGGCATATCCGGCGGAAATCGAATTTGATTAGTCAATGTCAGTGGAAATTTGAATGCCGTTTGGTATCGGGGAAAAACCACCTGTACCCGGTTTAAAGCGTTGAGGAGCTCAGTCCATTTTGCAGCATGATAATGCGACGTTGTACAACCAAAGTAGGCTAGGACGTTCTTGCAGCAGAACAATGTCCAACGTTTCGATTGGCCTGCAAAATCCCCTGATCTAAATCTAATAGAGCACATGCAGGAAATTCTTGAAAGACGGGTAAGGCGATAGCCAAATCCGCCCTAAAACTTACAGCAGTTTGTGTAGGCATTTAATAAGGAGTGGAACGCCACCCGGCTCATACCATTCGACAGCAGACATGTTTTATGCGTCGGAGTTGTAAATCTGTGGTCCTAACCAATGGTGGTCACAATCTCTGACCTTGTACTTTTGATTCATGGCCACATGACTCCTCATTAGCAATATTTCATTAAAGCCCTTCATAACTGCGTGCCTTTAATACAAATCGTGAAAACATTTTTATCTAGTAAAGTAACTGTTCACTTAGCTGAATATCGGTTCATTCGGAAAGTTTATTAATTTTTAAGTTCACAATTGTATCTGTGAGATATTTTCTAGGAATCAATTAAGTTTTGTGTGTTAAATACATTGAAGAATGCCCGTTAAATGCGTTGTTATGGACCCAGTTGATTTTTTAAAAAGCATTATTGGCCTAGATGCGCATGGTGTGTGCCCTCCTGAACATCTCGTCTTATATTACTTGACATTAACATGGTCAATAGACCATTGATATTCCTTCGTTTTTCCGTCTGCTTTAAGCTGACATTGTAGTTCTTCTTAGCCGGAATTTCAATAATCATGTCCACAGGTTTATGAAGCAAACAACAACAATGCAAACCTTGTGAATCGAGCTGTGAATGAGAAGATCCTGACCAAATTCATTCGCATCCATCCAGAAACTTGGAATATTTGGCCAGCGTTCAGTTTGGAGATTCTTGGGTGTCCAAAATGTATGTATTTTTTACCATATTTGTGTTCTGTTTAAATTTGTTGTTCATTCTTAGGAACAGGTTGGCAAAAATGCGTCTTCGCCCTACGTGGCTCAACTAGTAATCCTTGAAGAGTTTGATTAAGATTATAAACGATATGAAATATTGATAGTGATTGGACTGTGATAAATCAGTCCGTCGATGTGTAGATTAAAAACCCTAAGTAAACTGTATATATATCACATATTAAACTGAATTAATGAAACAATGAACACTGATAATGGAAATGAAAATTTATCTATAAAATTCAATCATTTACAGTTAACACAAGTTAGTTCATGGTTATAAGTCTTTGTCTTTTTTATAAGGTTCCACGTAAAGACCATTTACTGATATCACTATCAAGGAAGTTGGGAAAGCTGCATTTTTTGTGTTTTGATAAAAGCACCATTGACACAATCGTAAGAGCTTCCTGTACTTCTCCAGACGTTCACTCTAAACAATAAGTCTTTGGTTCCACGTAAGACCTGCTGGATTGGGAAAGGAGAAGAGCTTCCTGTACTTCTCCAGACAAATACCAGTCGTGTGGCAGTTTTATGTTTGACTTCGATAATAGGGAATGTCACCTTTTACTCCATTCAGACATTCAACGTTACGACAACTCGGTCAACCTCTCTGAGCAGACAAGTGTATTTCGTGAATAACCCTGATATGTGTTTTCATTGATGTTTTTATCACTCCCTATGAAAGAACAAGTAAAGTTTCCTCATTTTCGGTCACCTATACTGTCTATCGTTTACTTATTTATAAATAGAATATATCTATAAAATAGCCTAGGGTGATAAGTTGAAAAGAATATTTGGCAAAGGAAACAAGAAGGAACGTGTGGCATCAGTGTGGATTGTACGAGATCTTCCTTAA